ATTTCCAAACCCTCTCATTGTTTCCCCAAGATTAAACTGTAACAGAGTAAAGTACATCTGTAAGGAACGGACAAAAAAATAATTCGTATCCCATATCATTTTAGAGTAAGTACATGTCCCATAAGGGAATTTTCAGACTGCTCACACAATAGGTATGTACACTGCTCCATGTGAAATCAAATCAGTATTCTAAAATGCTGCCAAGACACAGGTCAAGATACTTGGAAGACTCCTAAGATTTAAAGTATATGGCACTTTACAATCATTATCGTACAAACACACACACACACGTTTCTCTCCATATACAGAGAGTAATAATAAACTAAGTATGTTATGTGACTTAAACGCTGCTTTGTATTTTCCAATAAAAGATTTGTCATGTAAAATCAGAGACGATATTCGCTACTTCACAGAGATACCAAAACAAAACAAAACAAAAAACACCACTCCACTGTTAAGCAGTATGAATACAGAATGAAAATTTTAAGTTAGAGTCTTACTATTTACAGTGTCCAAACATTTCAATCCTTCCAAACTCTCTGCCCCTTTGTAGGAAGGAGCAAAAGTATACAATTTAGAAACAATTATCTATAAACAAGAATTATAAGTCAATGTAGTGGTCAAATATGAAATACATACTAGCAGTCTTTTCCAGAAGATGTCTATGGACTAAGAAGTGAGAAGTAAAGTATTCCTGATACACTGAATATTGAAAAGTATTTTTCAAAAAAAAGGATATTTATAATCAAAACAAAACATGGGCTAAAACAGTAATGTTTATATCATCATAAATACTTGCAAATACTCTTCTCACATTTATGTTTTGTTCTTTTCCCATAGAACACCACTTTCTATGTACATCATGGTAACAAACTGAATGACAATTGCAAGAAAATTAAGAAATGCCTGATCACAAATTTTAACCTTAATGCCGACATCCTAATTTAAAAGCTGGATCTTCCTGTGCTATAATTAATGAAGCATGGAACCAAAAGAGTAATCTGACCTTATAATTTCACTTCAAAAATCTTTATTTCACAGTTTCTACATTTTTTAATATTTGACAGAGTTCAAAAATATTTGACAGAGTTGACTCAGTATTTGATGTACTATTTCTAAAAAAGTTAAATACTTTTGAATTAAGGACATGTACGAATATCCAATAAGACTAGACTGCTAAAAGGTTAAACTGTTTCTTTCACATTGACAAAATGTGTCATTTTATGAGATGGTAATGCCCAATAAAACAAAAATACGATCTTAAAATGCTAGGAAGTAAAAGAGTCCCAATCGGCAACTGTGTAGAGGGAAAATAGGATTACATTTATTGGCTACTATATCAACTTAACTTCTCATAAAATCCTCCTGATCTATTAAATAACTTCAGAACTGAAGTATGCTCTCCTATGGGAGTTGTAAAACAAATTAGATACAATTACAATTCAATACAAATAAAAAGCCAACCTATTTACCCTTAAGATGATTCTTGTTTTAGAGCTTTATTATTTGAATTGGACTAGAATTTTCCCTAATGAATCAAGTGGGCCCCTTGACTTAATTATAGATTTTTATATTATACTTTCTATAGAGAAACATAGTTGATAGGAGTAAGCTCTGGAAAACTGTGGTAACTACCTCCCCAAAGTGAATACAACAAACATCTGTTGCAAGAACTGCTTGGCTTTCAGACAGTACGTAAAGGGTGTTCTTTTTCCCAGTGTTTTGCTATTTAAAAAAAAAAAAAAAAAAAGATTATTTGTTAAGAAACATGTTTCTACTATCAATTCTCAAAACGTAAAATCTTAAAATTCTAAGTTAAACACAGGTCATTACCAGGTTTATTATAGAAGGCAAACTATGCAATGTACAAGACTCCACTCGCATTCTAAAAGGGTAACAAAATAATTGGGCATGTTGCCCTCTGTCTGTGGGATACAAAGTAATTTTAACCATTGTCTTCCTTTCTTAACTCCTCTACACAAACATCCCAACACTCAGAGCAGAGGAGGGGACTAAATATACAACCCCCGGGGGGTTTTCTTCCTCTGTTGCAATCCCAGTGATAATTCAGCTTTCTCCTTGGGATCTCACCAGCTTCTGAACTCAATATCCTGTTATCCTCATTAAGTGATAAATGAATTCTTAAAGTTTTACTCAAGTGACAGGAATAACTGCAAATGTTTTGCATAATGCATTAAGCACAAAATGTAATAATTTCAATGGGAGGAAGGGAGGAATCAATGAGCCCTTATGACTCCTCGTCTTTTCTTAACTGCATCAAAGACTTGTTCAGTGCTTTTGGTAAACTGAATACATTTTCCTTAATTCTGTAAGAACAAAATTTTGCCTCAGACTCACAGGTATTTTGCAAAGTAAAAACTCGTCTTTTTTAGCATTTGGAAATTACACAAAGTGCACACAAATTAGCAGGTACAAATGAATAAAAATGTTTATAAGCAATAGAGCACAGGGCATGTAATACCTTTATAATAAGGAAAGGGGGAGTAGTAAACAGATGACCACCTCTAAACATATTTCAAATAACATGAAAGTTTTTTCATTTTTTAATCTTCTACCCCTCTTCTACCCATGCCTCCTCCCAACCATTTTGAGATTACTAGTCATTAAAAGTTTAAGATTCAGTTTTTACAATTCCACTTTTATGCTAACTTATTAATAAGATATTGGTTTAATCCTAAAACACTTCTGGGGGTACTTCAACAAGGCATCATAACATTACTCTACTGGGGAACCTCTTTCTCGTTCAAGCAATGAGTAAAATAAGAAGCTTCCATTTCTTTTCCTGCCAAATTCAAAGTATGAGTACTTCATTATGTTTTGACAAACTTCAAGATCTATAATTGAATTTGCCCATGTCTTCAATTAAAGTCTAAAATGTTAACATGCACCTGTACAGTATGTGTTTATATAACCATAGGGAAAATGCCTTAAACAGTCCTCAAAATGGTATTTGCAAATTCCATTACAAGCAAAAATTTTGAGGAAAATTCATTTAAAGTTGATATAAATAGAAAGTCAAAGTCATACATATTCCAGTATATACAAGTTTTGAATAATTTTCAAATCATTACATTTTTTCTACATTTACAGTCTCTGTCTCAGTAAAAGATGAATCACAAAAAGATATTTGCCCGTTTCCTAGGAAAGATAGCTAGCCAACACACACAAAGCATATTCCAGAGCAATTAATTGTTAAAAGCTTCCTTTCTTCGATGTGACAGTCTTCAATTTTTATGGAGGATTACCCTGAGTTGTGAATTTGATTTCAAGAAAACATTAGTTTCAATTTTATGTCTAAGGAAAACAATTCCTTAAATTCTTAAATTTAAAAGAAAAAAAAATGAGCTATTATAAATAACTTGAAAAAGGGATTTGAAGTTATAAGGTCACTTGTATATGTATTTCATACGTTTTATTATAGATGTATTACATATTATTTATGTACAAAACATTATAGTCTATTTGTATTCTTAAGACATACCTATATTTCCCACAATGAATCTCAGAACAATGCATTTTCAGCAAGTACCTTGTAATGATAAACTAATATAACACTCATAAATACCCATCATTAAATACTATTACATCCATTCTACAGACAGAAAAACTGGTGCTCAGAAGTTAAAAGATTTACCAAAAGCCTTAAGAACAAATCAGGAAACACCACAACCACAAAGTTGAAGATCTGCACATTAATGACTCTCTGAACAGACTTTCATTGCTTTGTTTTTTATCTTAATTACTTAATATTATCTAGATTTCACAAAATCTAAAAAGGGAAAAGGTGCTTGCTGACCACTTAATGCTGAATGAAGCAACAGAGGATAGATGAGTTCTATTTAATAAGAAACCCTTGCCTTCTTTGCTATTTTCCTAAAACTTAAATGAAAATTCTCTACGTAGTACCTCTTCTACTGCTTAGTACTTTCAACTTCAAAGTGAATTATCCAAAATCATCCCACTCATTTCTTAAGAAAAAAACAAAACAAAACAAAACTGCATTATTGCCATCTTACTGATGAGAAGACAGCGAAGGAACAAAGCTCTTTGCATGGGTCCCACATTAAGTGTGAGAGAAGTCTGGAGTTAGAATATCTTATGTTCTGGACTCCTTATCCAATTTTTCCAGACTAAAGGGCAGTGTTGTTCCTCTTAATTATCTTATTCTGAAGTCACTAAAGGAAGCACACAATTTTCTGAAGGAGAGGGGAGAAACCTATTCTGAAAGTTACAGGTGTAAAGGAATACATGAGAAGTATATTTCATTGTGCTTAGGTTAAAATGCACTACAATTCAAGTTTTAAAAAATTATTCACCTATGTTATTCCTTTAGTATCCATGAATCCGAAACTCTGCTGGGTGAGACACTGAATTTTTTTTTCCCCCAGAACTAGGCTCATGTCTTTATAGGTGAGATACAAGCTAAGAAATGAAATTAAATGAGGAAGATAAAGAATGGGTCCACCACATTAAAGCGTATTTGGTGGCATGGAACTTGCAAGATAAGACATCAATTTTCAGCCTGGCTGGTTACAGAATAGGACTCATTGCTTCTAGTCAACAGTGAGCATTTCAGAGGGACAAGAACATGACATTTGAGGGCAAATGATGCATGGTAATACGCATGATGCATTCCTTGAAAAGCTGGAGAAAAGAATGAACTAAGTAAGCTGGCAGGGTAAAAAATGTTCAATAACCAGGCCTTCAGATGAGAAAATAGATGAGAAAAATATTCAGATAAGTCCTCTAACTTCACTGAACAGTTTTTAAAAAACCTATGCTTTATAGGTGGAGAAAGATATATAAACAATAATTTCTATAGACTGATAGAGTCTTTCTACTTTCTAAGAAAATTACGGTTTCATGTGGAAAAACAACATAACCAGCATATCCCTAATTATAGGCAAGTTTTCAGATTCCAAGGTGACAGCAAAAGTGCAACAAACAAGACAAAGAGTTGTCATGTTAATGAGACATACCTCTTGGACTGATCGAGCAGCTGGCTTGTCTTGATGATTGGCCAATATTAAAAAGGGTAAAGTGCATAACTGTGGGTGCTGAAGAGCTGAGTGCAGTTCATTTCTAGCAGTTTCTAAATCATCTTCTGAAGAGGCACTGTCTAATACAAATATTACCCCTTGAGATCCTTGGTAGTAGCGACTCCAATATTTCCGGATATTATCAGCCCCTGTCAAAAACAAAACAAATTCTCTTTTTAAAAATAGCTTTCAGAAACTGAAAAAACACTGAACAATACTGTTGGGAACACTCAACAGTAATTCCTACTGGAAACCAGTGTAGCTTTTAAAAATTAAGTGCAGAAAACATGGTTGATGACAACAAAGGCATGAGAGCCAACAGGTGGATGTGGCCTTGGAAGAAGAACACCAAAGTTGAGGAGTCATTCTTCATACCTTTCTTATCAAAATATGTGAGAAAAACCAGGATACTTTTTAGATTCAAACTCAAAATGTTTTCAGATTTTGCTTACTAGCCCAAAATAAACTCCACTCTTTATAAATTGAGTCTGAGCCTAACTCAGAGAGCAGTGTAACCTAGCTGTTCAGAGAGGCTTTTTTTCCCAGACAATGAACATTAGCTTGGTATTTTCTAAAAGAACTACTTGCTGATCAGGGCAGCCTTGTTTAATTTCACCTAGAAAGTGAAAACTACTAGCACAATACCTTCATGTATCAAAGTACTGAAATTTGTGATGAATTAAAACCCATTTGGCAATGAGCATCCTCATGGCCTTGGTATGACGGGGTGTTCACAAAAGACACTGAGATTCTCATCAGCCAGGGCCATGTCTTATTCTTCTTTGTATTCCCAATATCCAGCACAATATATAACTTGAAGCTCAGTACAGGAATGAGGGAAATGAGGGAAGGAGGAAGTGAAATTATACACTAATTAGGTTTTATGGATTTTGAGACTAGAAAGACCTGGAGAGACCGTCTAGTCCAACTGTCTGAGGAAATTGGGGCCAAGAGAGGTGAAGTGAGTAATCCCCATTCATCTGTCTAGTCAATCACAAAACTGAGATTTGCATCTGAGTAGACAACCTATCCAGGGCCGGCATGGGCATTCCCCACTACATCATGATGACTGCTTCCTTTACTTTCATTCAATTCATGAATAGCATGGGCAGTGTTTGTATGGGGGGTGGGGTAAGGGGATGGGGGGCGGGGAGGCTTATTGGTTATACAACAAAAATTAGATAAAGGTATTTCCTCAATTTAGTGCATACGATCAAGTCTTAACCTTAAGTTCAGTAACTACATGTTAGTCATCCATTGAGTATTTAGCTCCTATATTGAATATACTGTGCTAAGTGCTAGGGGCATAGAGATTAAGGACTGGAGTCGGCATGCACTAACTGGCAACGGCCAAATGTGTGCATCTCTTTCCAACTCTGTGTTCAAGGACACCATACTGGAAGCTCGCAACTGGACAGGGTGGGAATATTTTCACTATCAAAATCAACAACAGCTATCATCAGGTCTTTTCTTCCCCTGAAGGCCAACACACCACTGGATGACATTAAGAAGCCCACGTTTTTCTGGGAGAAATAGGAAAAAAAAAAAAAAAAGTAATAAAGTACTGTTAGAGACGTACTCCTTAAGCGGGATGAGAGCAAGAGAGGTGGCATCTCAACTGGACTGGGCAATTCTCTTCAAAAACAGTAGTTACCAAACACCTACCATTTATTAAGCACTTTCTAGGTTCCAGGCACAGTGCTAGGTGTTTTCAAAAGAAGAGCTCATATAATTCTTATAACCACCCTAAGAGGGAGGTATAATTGACTCAGGATTTAAAACTAATTTTCAGATTTTAAAATCCAGGGTATTTGTCATAATATTTTGCTGAAACAACCTGCTATAGAAGATGATCAAGGACACTTAATGTTGAGTAACCTTCAATATGTAAAGACATGGCATATGAACAGGGGTAACATCCAACCAAGAAAGCAGAACAAAACAAAGCAAAAGAAAAAAAAAAATTAAGCCAGAGATTATTTAATATAGGTAGGTAGTTGCATAAGTGATGGTCGAACTAAGAAAACAACAGAGGCACCGAAATTAGCAACAACTTAGGCCAGGTTCCCTAGGAACAGAGTCTGAGATGGCATCTCTTGAATGCCTAATTACAGGTAGTATTATCAGGAGAAACCAGGAGTGAGAAAAAAAAAAAAGCAAGCTAGAATTGGGAAGGAGTTAGGCAAAGATACAGTTTCAGAAATCCAGCCTCAGCTTGATCCACTGAGGAGCTCTAGAGCATGTACTGAACCACAGAAGTTGTCCAGTCCAAAGGCAAGGGGGCTGGGCTGCTATACCCCTGTATAGTCATTGGCTATGAGCCACCCTAGGGAACAGGAGGGGGTAGGGATGTGATCTCATACTCTCCCAGACATATTTAGTTGAGGCAATTACGGTCAGCCAAGGGCAGGCCTCTGGAGAAGGGTACAGGTGTGAGTTATTAGCAGCCAATACTTGCAGCAGCTGGGAGATGGATGCACTGGCCCAGTAAAGGAGATCTGGGTAGGATACCAACAGCATCTGCTACAAGCTACATCCAGACATTATCCATATGCTAGAGAACCATCCATAAGCTTGAGGAGCAAAAGTAGCAGCAGTGTTACCTGATGGTAAATGTTTAAAACAAAAATACCGTGCATGTACATATCCGTACATAATTTATTACAAAATTTATTAAAGGATGTGTAGCACACAATTTTCATCTAACATATGCAACATGCTTTACTGTAAATTCCATAGAGCTCATTAATGCTCACAAAATGGTTCCGGGATTTTGCCCAACTTTTGTATCCATAGTCAACCAACAGTTGCAATTGACCAAGTACAGTTCCAAAATAAATGTTGGTTCTCCTAAGTGTTTTACATGTATTAACTCATTTACCCTTGACAATCTTAAGAGGCAGGTATTCTTACAGCTCCCATTTTATCAATAATAAAACTAAGACATGAAACGATTACATAATGTGGCCCAGGTTATACATCTAAAATATATATTTAGGTCTAATGAGATTGAAAGAGAAGGATCATTGACTGGGAAGGTGATAAAACTAAACAAAACACTCTATTACCACATAAGCCAAGCGGGGGGGAAGCAACCTATTAGAATAAAATGTACTAGGTGCCTATATATATTAACGCTCAGAGTAGGAACATGTCCAAGAACATTTCCAGCCAATTAATTCAATGAATAGTATTATGAAGTACTGTTCTATACAAGTCACTGAGCAAGAACCTGTAAGAAATATTTAAAAATCCATTATTCCCCTTAGATCAAATCCTCAAATTCTTTCAAGTAATAATAACTACAACAAGGCCTATAAATACATTAGAGGGAATCAATACGGCCATAGCATTAAGAGGGTGTGCAGAGAACCAAATATAAAGACAATACTGGTTGCATGTTCCAATGGAACTTTTCCATTGGAAATATGTGGGACATACTCAAAATCCAACTCATGAGGCTCAACTCTTTCAAAAAGAAACTATTTCCATCTACCACATTTAGGAGCACATAAGACACCTGAAAATAGTGAGACAAAATGGTGAGTCCAATGATTGTGTTGGTAGAAACAAACCCACCCAAAGAGAAATGTCATAATTCCTTAAAATGTCCCGTCTGTGACAAAGTATGTGAATAATACAGTATTAATGGTGCAAAGACCCTTTTCTTTAGTCTGCTACCACACAGTTATCTGCCCAATCTTAGCATTTCTGATGTTCATCACAAACACTGGGCCTGGAATTCGAAATTCCAGTTCAGCCTTTTGCCCAATGGCTTGATCAGCAGCAGCCTAAACCCGGATTAGGGCCCAGGAAACCAGCAGTGGGGTGAAGGCTCGTATAAAGTTGGTCAGTCTGGGTGAGTGGATCTTAGTTAAGCCACCAGATTAAAATGAGAACTGGATATGTCATTAACCCAGCTGCCAGATGCTTTGAGAAGTGAGCCTAACTGGGAGAATTCAGAACACCCGTTTGATGTCCACATCCCAATATTCCTCATCCACAAACTGAGTCCAAAGGGAGTAACGTAACACAGGACATCACATCAAATAGTGGTCTGGGGCCACTCATTTTAATGACTGAATAGTGCATGCTTTGTGTCATTTAAATTGTTATATAAAAAGGTTAAACACCCAACTCAAACCCGGCCTGTATTTTGTACACTGATTAAAAAACAAAGGGGTATCTTAACAGTAGAGAGGGTCCGATACTGCCTTACTCAACGTTGTAAGGAGCCTTCGGTGATCTAAGAGTTCAATCTGAGAGCCAATCAATCAGGAGAGCCTGGTTTAAGCCACTACAAGAGAAAAACTAGAAGATAGGAGCGTAACGTGTCTTCATTATGCAAGGTTCTTTTTAAAGGCACACTATGGCAACTATGGACAACTTTTCTATGGTACATATGGACAACTATGGAACATTCTCTTAATATTCAGAGCCAGCCTAGCATTACAGAGGTTAAAAATGCCAAGTATCTGTTTCCCAAGTTCTCTCCTACAGCATGGGCAGATTATTCAGTTCTAGCAAACTGGGACTCAACAAAGGTTTGCTGGGAGCTTCTGGAAAAAAAAAAAAAAAGTGTCCCTCAATAAAAAGAGAGATGCCCAAAGAGAGCCACCTCTCTCTCCTGGTTTTTTTTTTTTTTTTTATCTCATTAGGTGATAAGATGATGCTTTGAACTGTGTTAACCTAGCAATCTTGAAGGAGACACGCCAACACATTGAGGACGTCAGAACGGAAAGACAGAAAGAGCCTGGGTTGTTGAGAACACCGCTGAGCAGCAGTACCAACCACCAACATTCTAAGAACCCCTTATTCTGGAGTACAGTAAATGCCTATTATTCAAGCCAATTTTAGAAGACTATTTTGTTATTTGCAGCCAAAAAAATGCTTAGTTCCCTTAAGTTACAAGACCATAAATAAGTTTCTTACAAGAGTTGTTCTTTGAAAGATAAACCCAATGAACTATAAAAAACAAACAAACAAAAAAAGGGATACACAAGAGTCAACAACAATAAAAACAGTTGTTCAAAGCTGTCCCTATGGCGGAGGGGGGGGGGGCGGGCAGGAGGGCTGTCCTTATGGAAAATCTTATCTCCAGACCAGTGATATCTAACTAAACTTTTTGTGTTAATTTTTTACCTGTGCT